ACTAAGAGGGCATAAAATTAATTTCAAATTACACAAGAATTTCTTTAGAAGTTTCATTTATATTTATTTATCCATTAAGAATAAATCTTTAAGAATACTAATTATTGTTGATTAATGATCCAAAACATGATATGGGAATTTCTTGTGAATGCTAATTGATACTTTTGATTTCTACAAAGGCTTATGTTAATAGTCTGATAACTGATAAAGTTTGTTTCTATTATTTCAAACTGTTTGAGAATATATATTTGTTTCCTTTACATACACTTTATTGACACAGCAAACATCTGTAATTAATGTAGCACTGAGGGAAATTTGGACAAACTGTGTTACAGATACCCCTTTTCATGCTTATTGACAATTGTGAGTACATTTATTAGTATGATAATTACTTGTTGCATAGCTTTCTTATTACATTACTGGCTGTTCCACATTATTGTTTAACTTTAACCTTGATAATAACTTTTTGAATTATTTGTGTATTGTCTTCATATTTGACCACAACAACCCTTTGGACAAGACCTTCAAGTAGACCAGACTATCATAACTGCTTGTTTTTTATTACTTTTGCTTTTAATGACTTTTCCTTTTTTGTTTTTGTATGGATTGTTTTCAAACTTGAATATAATAATCTTTTAGGGAAGGCCTTCAAGTTAAATCAGACAGACCTTCACTCATAAATGACCTTGATCTTGATGGCCCGATTTTGAAAAAAAAATTGACTGACATTGGCTACAACTTTGTTATTAATGAATGGATTGACTTCATGTTATAACACAACATTCCTTTGGATGAGACTTTTATGTATATCAAACACAAATTGACCTTGGTTTCCTAATGATCTTGACCTTCCAGGTTAAATTATTCAATATTTACATTTTTGCTATAAGTGACTGTAAGTTGGTAATTTATAAGTTATTCAATACACAGAACAACATTTTAGTTAAGAACTTCTAAAAGGTTGAACTGACCTTGATACTTAAATGTCCTTGACCATCAAAGTCAAATTATTGAATTTTAGTTAAATTGTAATTACTTTGTTATTTTTGTATGGATTTGAGTTAAACTTAGACAAAACATTACTTGCTTCCAAATAAACATACTGAATAATCTAGATGTGACCTTAACCTTAAATTACGTAGACTGTCAAGGTCGAAGTAATAAGTTTCTTTTTTTGTATGTTGCTATAACTATGTTATTTATAAATGAATTTACTTCATATTAGACACAGCAGTAGTCAGGTCAGCATCTTTATGTATATCAGTTTCAAAATGTCTTTGACCTTGTCAGTCAAATTAATTATCATCAAAATTGGCTTCAGAAATACGAAAGAAGTTGAACATGGCCCCAGACTGATAGTGGCTCTTGTTTTAAATGCCAACAATGTTATAATAGGAGGCCATTCTTATTAAATGCTCACATGTGTTATGCTTCAAAGGTTTCTACAAAAAATTATTATGGCCCCCTTCGAAGATTATCTTGAAAAGTATTCATCACAAAGTCTTCAAATTTCACATATTGATTGGTCTTAACTAGTAGGTGACCCCTATTTATTTTGGGTCATTAGGTCAAAGGTCAAGGTCACAGGGGCATTAAATGGTAATATGATTTCCGCTTATTATCTTGGTAACTGTTTATCACGAAGTCTTCATATTTCACATATTGATTGGTCATTATAAGTAGATGACCCTTTTTGATTTTAGGCTCACTAGGACAAATGCCAAGGTCACAAGGGCCTTAAATGTTTGAATTGTTTCCGCTGATTATCTTGAAAAGTATTCATCACAAAGTCTACATATTTAACATATTGATTGGCCATAACTAGTAGATGACCCCAATTGATTTTTGTGTCACAAGGTCAAAGGTCAATGGTTTCTGCTCATTATTTTGGTCAGAATTTATCACAAAGTCTTCAAATTTCGATTGGTCAAAGCTAGTAGGTGACTCATATTGATTTTGGGGTCACCATGCCAAAGGTCAAGGTCACAGGGTCTATGAATGGTAGTATGATTTGAGCTCATTATCTTGAAAGATAATTATCACGAAGTCTTAATATTTCACATAATATTTGGTCATAACCAAGAAATAACCCGATTTGCTTTTAGGGTCACTAGATCAAAGGTCAAGGTCACATGCGCCTTAAATGTCAGAATCGTTTCCCCAAAACTCTTGAAATACTTCATATTTCACATACTGATTGGTAGTAACTAGTAAGTGACCCCTATTGATTTTTGGGTCACTAGGTCGAAGGTCAGGGTCACAGGGTTCTTGAATGTTAGTATGATTTCCGCTCATTATCTTGAAAGGTATTTATCACAAAGTCTTCATATTTCTAATATTGATTGGCCATAACTATTAGATGACCCCTATGGAGTTAGTATAACTAGTTCTAGGTCTGGGCAACTAGTTCTAGGTCTAGGTTACAGGGGTCTTAAATGTCTCATTATCTTGAAAACTATTCATCACAAAGTCTTCATTATTTTTCGTTTTTTCCATAATTGAACACTTCCATGTACCCATTTATGGCAAGTTTCTATAACAAAATTACCAATTATGTGAGTCAAGGGCTAAGAAAGGTAGGGGAGGGCATATGTGACGTTCGACATTTCTTGTTTGCATGGTTTTATTTTAGAACTATTTCGTTGACAGTTTTTCTTTTTACATATCATTTCTTGGAATAAATCTATAAATACACTGATTTGTGTGTTATATACTTCTGCTCACATATACAAGTAGTTTGGACGAAAATTGGTTGACTTTTTTTTAACCAAACCATTTCCCAGCCAATTAAAGTGTCATATTTTAAAATGTTTATTCACAATATTTATGTTCTTAAATATGCATTTGGCTGGGTTTGTTAGCATGTTTTCAGTACATGATTTACAAGTTTGACAAGAGTTTTGAGTCATAAATTTCTTTCTGTACCTAAATATTTGGACTTGTTCTGCCTGAAAGTAGAAAATCTGAATGATATCAGATTGGGACACCTAAAAAAGTTTGCTCTACGAATCTCGAACTATTGTATGGAAAAACTTGTCTCTGTTATATATTTTGTGTTTTTTCTGAAAAAGCCTTAAAGTGTATCAAGCTTTATTATATACCTATAAACTTTCTCCCTAAAATACACGCAAATCTTGAAGCGCAAATACGCTTCAACGGAAAAAAATTTCCGTATTATGTTAGTGACAAATACGGTACCATATATGGAAGTGTCGGACTATATTTAACGTTGGTTCCGATCTTAGCTTTGTATAACGTTTCATTTGAAAACGGGAACCAAAATTATTAAAGGCGTGGCCAGTTTTGCAAGAATTGCGTATTCATCCGCCAGCTTATTTATTTCTTGACAACTACATTTCATTTTCTGAATAAAACGAAAATGTATATAATAAAAGGAAATTATTTTGAAGTAGCTTTCTGAGGCTATGTATTTTTCTACTCGCAACGTTCGGTCTCGCGAGATATCAATTTTCCACCGCTGCTCGTAGCAAAATACAAAGCCCAAGAAAGCTACTACAACATAATATTCCGGATATATCTGATGAAAATTTTGTACATTTTGAAAAAAAGCAAAATTGCATTGTTTTAATAACTGTATGGTGATTTTCCGAAAAAGTTGTAACATAGAATGACTGTGTTAATTATCACACATGATTATACGTAAAGTAGAAAAAAGATGTTTCGGAACAAAATATTCCTCTACTATTTTCACTTGGTTTATTGATTATTTGGGGCAAGTTTCTCTTAATGTAAATAAATAGGTAGGTAATTTTGTATCTTTTCTAGGTATGTTGTATCTATTCAGATCATAGTACAACAAAAACTTTTTGCAGTCATAACGCATCAAAGATATAGTTCTATACACTTTTATGTCTCTCCGGTTGCATGTAACCGCCTCCGTGGTCGAGGGGTTAGAGTCGATGACTTCTAATCCAGTTACCTCTCTGGCGTGGGTTCGATCCCCGGGAGATGCTTTGGTAGTTTAGCGCAGAGGAAGGTAGCCTAGTACTGGTGTAACTCTCCAGGAACGATGGTTAGGAAACTACCCGCCTATATGACTGAAATACTGTTGAGAAAAGGCGTAAACTGAAGCAAACAAACAAACAAACAAACCGGTTGCATGTCCGTCGCATTCAGTGCTTTCAACACTTTGATTACTACAGTGGTCAATGACTGCGTGTATTTAAATGGCAAATTGTATGTCTTACACTAAGTCTAACATGTACATTTTTACACCGTTGTGTAGGTATTAAATTACCCTATACAGGTATGTATTGGTTTTTATCGTGTCCCACGTGGATCACGAGATAAAGGACAATAAGCAACTCTTTTCGAACAGCCCTTGTAAAAGTCTGTCCAAAGTGAAAGTAGGCCAAAATTCATATAACAACAAAGCTCAGATTGTTATATGATGAGCCATTTGCAAGTACACATTCAGTTCTATGTTTTAAAGACTATTTTAAACAAAAATAAAATTGATAACAATAAGAAAATTTACCTTGAATGGACTAAATTTCTGAAGACCAAAAACATTCTGTTGCAAAGTTTTATGCACATTTCATGAATGGCAAAATCCTTTTTAAAGTATGTTTTAGTGCCTACAAAAGCTATTTGAAATGTGCATAAAACTTTGCAACATAATGTTTTTGGTCTTCAGAAATGTAGCACATTCAAGGTAAATATTCTTATTGGTATCATTTTTATTTTTGTTTATAATTGTCCTTAAAATATAAACCTGGAAGTGTCCTTTCAAATTTTTCATCATTTTACAATAAGAGCTTTGATGTTATATGAAGTTTGGCCTACTTTCACTTTGGACAGACTTTAGTGAAAACAAACATGGCTGACAAAGCGGAATCCTTACTTATCTTATCTTAACTGGTCCTAATTAATTTGACTTACAATACATTATATTTACAATGTAAAAGATATACATGTATATGTATGTTATGGTAATAGGTGTTGAGTAAAAGTCAGAAAAAAGTATATTTTATGTCATTTTTACATAATTTTCATGAAATACAATTTCAATCTCGCTGTTTGTATATTTGGGTTCCGACCAAAACATAATATGTTCATAATCAATCAAAATGAAACGGATACGTTACCTGTATTAATAATCACAACAAAACAAATTTACGAACAAAATCTGTTTAAATTATCTAAAATAACTCTTGAAATATTAGTCTAACTCTTTAAACGAATAATAAATGTTTAAAGAGACATTTCAAATTAAATCTTAAATTTTACATTTTTAGTTGCCTTTAAAATAAATACTATTTTCTGTTTCGATATCAAATATAAGAAACTGTCAATTACCGTGAATAAGATAAGCATTCCATAAAATGTTATTTATCTTCGATAACAGTGTCACAGTATATGCACAAGCGATAATCTAGATTATGTGTTCATACCATAAGTTTTTGTGAAGAACATCAAACATTTGCGAATTTTTTTTTCAAATTTATCAACATCTACAACAAAGATATCATAACACTGCTTAAAATATATGTAATGTCATAGTTTGCCTGTCTCTCTGCATCTATTACTTCATTTTGTAAGGACTGGTCATTCAATTCCTGAATATATAGTTTTTAGGGGCTTGCCCTTCAGAGTAAATGTATAGAACACTCTAGTATGTTACTTAAAAGAAATGACTGATTTAAATATGGATGAATTTTTCAACATGTCAAATATTTGTCTAAATACACTGTATTCCCCAGGTGAAACAATAGTCACAATTTCCTGAGAACTTTAGTACTGACGTCATACGCTTCCCGATACATTCTATTGCATTCCTTGCTCATTTTTGCAGAAGAGAACAAGCTTTTGATTGATCGAACCATAACTGACCGAACCTTAACTTTTTAAAAATTATGTACTTGAAAGTAGAAATATTTTAATTCAACAAATACTATATGAACACACATTGCATTGTCCATAGTTTATTCGACCGTGGTTTCCATACGTGCTTGGTCCAGTAGAGCCCTATAATATCCAATCATTACTGGTGATTACTAATGAACAGATTACGACAAATACAAGCATTTAATTGGTTTAATCAAATATTATGTTTACAGTTTTTAGCATGCAAACATTTGTAAATAATGTTTTCACAGAGTAAAGACACATTCGTACATATCATATTACTTTCTGAAAGGGCGTACATATTAACTGAAAATACATGACATCTGTCGATACCACATGCAATAAAAAAGACTATACATACATAATTTCCGCTTGGTATGGAACGGCCAAGATTTCTTCCATACGGATCCTGAAATTAACAAGTTTTCTATTTACTTTTTTATTATTAACACAGTAAAATAGAAAAGGCTTTAAATTTGTTTAACCTAACATTGTATTGACAGATTATAGCATCACAGACAATTTCAAAGCAGTAATTGCCTACATTGTTTAATTGACTGTTCATTTTTATTTACAGACATGACTATGTTTTGAGACGTATTTAATACATGCATTGCAATAACTATATACACCAACACTTTATCCTCTAGGAATGAAGGAATTCCGGACGTATTTGAGTCATAAGGATCCTAAAATAAAATACAGTTGATTGTTTACAAAAATGATAACAGAACAAGCTTTTAGTTGGTCTAACCCGAATATTATATTTACAGATTGAGGCATAACACATAACTTCGCATAATTTCAGAGCTTATTTACTAATGTCATGTTGAATTATTTGTCAATTGCTCTTTGAATGTTTAGTATATTCGCTGAAAATTTAGAGCTACTTCTTTTATTGTAAATATATATGACAAGATAGTTCGATATGGATAGTTCGATATGTATACATACACTGGGTCCTCCAAGTGTTAAAGCGTCAAAATGGTGCAACGGGTATGAGCTGTATTGATCCTGAAATATCACAGCATTGCATAATTTGGTTTCTTTATAAACTAAGCAGAACAGAAAATGCTTCAAATTGGTCTTCCTTGGCTTATTTCTTAATTTTTTGCAATAAAGGTAAAATGTTAATGATGCTTACGCCAAGAAATATCAAAATACAACCACATTGTCTGTTATGATATACATGTATTTTGCTACATTTAATACAATATGTGAAGACAAACTGCGTATATGTTACATATGTTACACGACCAGGATTTTCATAAGAGTACTAGAGATACATTAAAGACTTGAAATATTCCGGCATCGTTTAACTGAACAGAGGCGACCAAACAAACATTTTATTATTCTACACAGGCCTTATATTTACATATACTTTCTGGAATGCAGTATACTTATGCAGTTCTCTATAAATTTAGCAATACATACACTGTACATTGTTCGTTACATTGAATGTGCTTCTATATTCATTGAAAGGATATGGTTACTTTCAATAAAGGTTAACCATACCCAAATATGTCTACATACACTATGTCCTACAAGTTTTGAATACTCAAGAAACCATATACCGTACATTGCATTTACATTGCAAGCTTTCGATATATTTTTCCTTTTATTTCTTTTAATTTTTGTTCGCTCAATATCTTTCAATATTTTCACACCGATGAAAAAAATGTAAAAAATAAAACGGCCTGCTTAACTACTCCTGTAAATAATGTCACAAAGTGACTTGTTAAAGAGACTCATCAATAAATTTGTGTGCCAGTTTCTTATTTTATTAAAATGTATTGTAATTAAAATCAATAGTTAGAATAAATTAATGAATTTTTATAGATGTATACAGAAGTAACAGTAAATAAATCAAATGTACTACGAACCCTTTGGTCTGTAGGTGCTGTAATAATAATAATAATAATAATAATAATAATAATAATAATAAAAATAATAATAATATTATATAGGTGGCTAATGGGCTTTTGCTACAGATTTGATATAATACAAAAACTTATTTCAAAATAATTTGGAAAAAGTAAAATAATTGATTTTAGATCTGCATTGCTTAGAAAGGGTCTTGAACAAAGTTATATAGCTAACAAGCAAACGTTAAATAGCCATACCTGGACCGAATTGTTGAAAATTTGATCCTTGCAAAGGTGGTCCTATACTTAAAGCTTGAGAATACGGGCTGAAAAAAATGTTTAAAAAAGCCAATTAATGTTTTCTGAGATTCTGACAGGTGTCCGGATAAAATTTACTTATATCCGCCCAATGTATTCTCGTTAAGCGGCTTTTCATGGCATGGAACGGAAGTGAAATTAGTTAGTGCAATTCATAAAAAGAATTGGGGCGTATGGTCCCCAAATAAAAGTTCGCTTGTGTCCTAAACCGTCGGAATTCAATGAAATATAATTTTGAAAGGGGATCAGAGTTTATAAAGTCTGCATATCATAGAAAAGACGTCAAAAGACAAATTTAAGGAGCAGGTAACATATTCTTAGGGTGATTATATAGTGTTCAAGTCGGAATATTTGAACCAGACCAAATAGAAGGAACTGTCAATACAAAAATAAAACAACGACAAAAATAATAATAAAAAGCAACAATTCTCATGCCGAAATATCTAAAATGGTCGAAAATATAACATTACTGATACGGGACGGGAAGACTTTTTATGACCTCCACATGGCACAAAATACGCTGATGTGACAACTAACAAAAGATCTCCGAAAAAGTCAAAATGCTGCACGCTTGGTTTGAGTGAGTCTAGTCATGAACGGTAGTTGTAATTGCAAGCTACCTTAACATCCCAACAGGCTGAAACAGTATTCAACATTTGAACATGAAACATGGTAAAATTTTGAATTTAAAGTCATCTGTAGATCTGTAGTCTTTTTAGAAAATACAAAAATAAAGAATGACCTCCTACTGGACACAATGAAGCAATGAAAAATGACAACATAAGTCGGTTCTATGCCTAATGATAAATTTAAACAAAATTCTGAGAAAAAAAAAACGATCACATTTTCTAGTACCGGTTTTTGTGCTGTGTGGAGGAGGCCGGTAAATGGAATCAAAAGACGTTTAGCACTACAATAGTGTTGTGTGTGCATTTTCTGGTATTTTAAGTTTCTTCTGTTGGACCTTTCCAATAAAACCACCGCATGAGCAAACCTGTGGATGATTCGTAATTCAAAATAATAATAAATAAATAAATAAAAATTAAAAGTACAATTTTCCATGTTAAATATAAAGTTCTGGTAATGCCGGTGCTAGGGGGGGGGCGGTAACTTTTACTTTCTTGTAACGTCAACGAACAGACTTAATCAAACCGAGCCTGCTACAATTCCAATTTCGTTTTTGGAGTTCTTTAGGGATGCCGTTTTTTCTATTTAAACAGATTTAACATTAAATTACAGAAAGAAATCCCGGTACCTTTTCATGCGTACCTTAACAATTTCCAATCATATCTAGAGGCAAACGGTGCCGTCGACAATGAGATAGATGAGCGTCGACACTAGGCTCAAACTTTTGATTCTCATTTACGAAGACACCTTGAACATTTCGAATCATTCAACTGATTTCATAACTGTTTAGAGATCTATTTCATGCAATACAAACTAGCGAAATATAACGTATGTTATCTTATTTATGAAGTTGACACTTAGGAACGTTATTATTGAGCACATTAGCAAAAGCAAACAAAGCTATATTCGTCTTCAATTTTCAAAATCTTATAATGCTTATTTACCTCCTGACTTAACAATAATAAATTTATTCGAATGGCAAAGTTGACCTACGGGTAGATATGTTACTAGAAAAGAAAAAAATCCAAAGGCGCAATTCTTTCGCATGAAAAAGCAAACATCAAAAGTGAATGAAATTCTAGATACTGTAACAAAATTAAGAACTATAAGGCTTCAACTGTCAGTATATACAATTTATACAACATTGCCTCATAAATTAATTTATGATAAACTAATTTCACTTAATAAAACATGGCCCTAAGAAGGGCTCTTTTCAGAAATGAGAAACTCTAAATATTCTATTTTATAAACATTATAAAAAATGTTTTCCTATAGAACATTTTTAAGAAACAAATAATATGGTTCAGCTAACAAATGACCCAGCAAAATTATTGTTTCTACTCAAAATGTTTGAAATATGTATATAAATGTTACCCTACCCACCCATTTTAAGTAGTTGTTTGATCATTTTTCTACTTGGAGGGCCTTATTCCAAATATTCCTAAATTTACTAAAATCAGGGGCTGTTTTCAAAGTTTGCATAAATTTTCTTAAAAGTATATTGGTTGTGGTTGTCACATATAAAATACTTTTACCGTCTAGTTTTTTTTTTATTGGACTTTGAAATATCAGGTACTATATTTGCACACTTTAGCCAATAAATACCAATAATAATTTCAGAATTAAAAGTTACTAATTGTGCACCCCTTGTCGCCGATTTGTTTTTGTATTGCTATGAAAGAGACTTTATGTTGAGTCTCTCTGAAGATACACAACAAGATGATTTAGTAGCTTTTAATAAGATGTCAAGATACCTTGATGATATTTTTAATTTAGATAGTTCTTTTTTGTTTCAAATGGTGTCTGATATTTATCCCAAAGAACTACAACTAAATAAAATGAATTCTTGAAATTTTTGTACATCATTTTTAGCTCGACTATTCGCAGAATAATCGAGCTAATGCAGTCACGTCGGCGTCGGCGTCCATGTGGTTAAGTTTTTGTATGTAAGCTGGTATCTCCTTAACTACTGAAGGGAATGGATTGAAACTTCACACACTTGTTTTCTGTGATTATCTAAGATGATTGGCACAAGTCCCATAACTCTAATTTGCTTTTTTACATCATGATGCCCCTTTTTCGACTTAGAAATTCTTGGTTAAGTTTTTGCGTGTAAGCTGGTATCTCCATAACTACTGAAGGGAATGGATTGAAACTTCACACTCTTGTTCTCTGTGATTAACTAAGATGATTGGCAAAATTCCCATAACTCTGATTTGCTTTTTTACATAATTATGCCCCTTTTTTAACTTAGAAAATTCTTGGTTAAGTTTTTGCGTGTAAGCTGGTATCTCCATAACTACTGAAGGGAATGGATTGAAACTTCACACCCTTGTTGTCTGTGATAATCTCAGATGAATGGCAAAAGTCCCATATCTCTGATTTGCTTTTTAACATAATCCTGCCCCTTTTTTGACTTAGAAATTCTTGGTTAAGTTTTTGCGTGTAAGCTGGTATCTCCATAACTACTGAAAGGAATGGATTGAAACTTCACACACTTGTTTTCAGTGATTATCTAAGATGAATGGCATAAGTCAAATAACTCTTATTTGCTTTTTTACATAATTATGCCCCTTTTTCGACTTAGAAATCCTTGGTAAGTTTTTGTATGTAATCTGGTATCTCCTTAACTACTGAAGGGAATGGATTGAAACTTCACACACTCGTTCTCTGTGATTATCTAAGATGATTGGCACAAGTTCCATAATTCTAATTTGCTTTTTTACATAATGATGCCCCTTTTTCGACTTAGAAATTCTTGGTTAAGTTTTTGCGTGTAAGCTGGTATCTCCATAACTACTGAAGGGAATGGATTGAAACTTCAAAACTCTTGTTCTCTGTGAATATCTAAGATGATTGACAAAATTCCCATAACTCTGGTTTGCTTTTTTACATAATTATGCCCCTTTTTCAACTTAGAAAATTCTTGGCTAAGTTTTTGCGTGTAATCTGGTATCTCCATAACTACTGAAGGGAATGGATTGAAACTTCACACTCTTGTTGTCTGTGATAATCTCAGATGATTGGCAAAAGTGCCATAACTCTGATTTGCTTTTTAACATAATTATGCCCCTTTTTTGACTTAGAAATTCTTGGTTAAGTTTTTGCGTGTAAGCTGGTATCTCCATAACTACTGAAAGGAATGGATTGAAACTTCACACACTTGTTTTCAGTGATTATCTAAGATGAATGGCATAAATCCAATAACTCTTAATTGCTTTTTTTACATAATTATGCCCCTTTTTCGACTTAGAAATTCTTGGTTAAGTTTTTGTATGTAAGCTGGTATCTCCTTAACTACTGAAGGGAATGGATTGAAACTTCACACACTTGTTCTCTGTGAATATCTAAGATGATAAACACAAGTTCCATAACTCTAATTTGCTTTTTTACATAATGATGCCCCTTTTTCGACTTAGAAATTCTTGGTTAAGTTTTTGCGTGTAAGCTGGTATCTCCATAACAACTGAAAGGAATGGATCGAAACTTCACACACTTGTTTTCAGTGATTATCTAAGATGAATGGCATAGTCCAATACCTCTTATTTGCTTTTATGCATAATTATGCCTCTTTTTTGACTTAGAAATTCTTGGTTAAGTTTTTGCGTGTAAGCTGGTATCTCCATAACTACTGTAGGGAATGGATTGAAACTTCACACTCTTGTTGTCTGTGATTATCTAAGATGATTGGCACAAGTTCCATAACTCTGATTTGCTTTTTTGCATAATTATGCCCCTTTTTCGACTTAGAAATTCTAGGTAAATTTTTGCTTGTAAGCTGGTATCTCCATAGCTGCTGAAGGGTTTGTACCTTTTCGGACAATTTTATGTATTATACTCAATGAAACACCATTGTGACAACTTTTCGAATAGTCGAGCGTTACTGTCCTCAAACAGTTCTTGTTTTCATATTACTGTCCACAACAATTCTATTCTTACGAAAACCTATGATAAAAGTGATGACTTGGATTTTTCATAGCTAGTTATCCACATTTTGATGGAGATGAACCCATGCAACATCTTACGGGTCTGTGTTTCTCAGTTAATTAGATTCGCTAGAGTTTGTAGCAACGTAAAGAATTTCAACGAGCGGAATAATGTCAAGCTTCTAAAGCAGAGCTACCGCTAACATAGATTTCGGAAATATTTTACAATCGTAATTTTGATTTAATTTCAAAATTTAATGGTGATTTAACAACAATTCTGCGTCAAGGGATAAGCCAACCTGATTTTTATGAGGATTTCATTTACAGACGTCGTAAGATCTTTGGTCATGGTAATTTTTCTACTGTTTTTACTAAATTCATTCATCGTTTTATTTAAAGAGGTTATGACACTACTATTTTAAGACACACCACATGCTTAGTGTTCAAACCGTTTACAGGTGGACGCTACGCCCTCCTCGTTAAATGACATCTGACGGACCAAGTGGGATAATCTATAATGGACAGTTCTACAAACCCTTTGGGACTAAATTGCCTGAATGTTAGTTTTCTAGCTTGCTTTGTCGGGCCCTTGAATGTGATTTTATTGTTGCTCGATCTTCTTTTAAGACTTTGAGTACGTTTGTTACGGTCATTGGGTTTACTTTTATATATCTCTGTGTATTACTTATTTCATCCATTGTAACCATGGCAACTGATAAAAGTTCACTTGGCGGGGATTCATTTTATTTACAATGTCTCGTTTTAAAGAAACATGGTGGGGCTAAGATTGAGGTTTGGTGCACCATTAACCGCTTTAAACTCTAGCTAGATTAGCTTATTTTTATGTACCCTTAGACTTCGATCATGTACATCATTGGGATTACCGTAGCCGTTTTTGTAGAGGACAATCTAACATGCATTTCATGTAAAATTAAAAATTTATTTTCGATAAAATGTTTAAGATTTCAAAAAAAATTCAATCTTGTTTGTTTTCAGATTGCGGGATCCTTCTTGTTCAGCACTCCTTCACAATGTAAAACACATTTGCAGAGGATCATCACTGAAAACTTCCATGTATATTTACGAAAATTGGTAACGGGTACACCGTTAACAGACATAAAACAACGGCAAAAAGCCTGTCATAATACCATGCTCGGATGAGATTAAAACTAAAGCCAATCATGATATCCGTCAACACATTTTATTGATTTGTTACAGTTTTATTTAAATGTATATCATTTCCTTTGTTAGTTTCCTTCATTTCTAACACTTTTAAGATGTTGTAAAATTAGCGATGTTTTCTCAGGATTCAAAAAATCTATTGTAAAAATGAAATCTGGTAAAGGGAATAGCCTCAGTAGCAATAAAAACAACAAAACTGAATGAAAACTACAGACTAAGAATGATTCAGTCTGTTCGTGAGAGATAATCTCGAAGTGCAACAACTCTCACGTCCCTAGCCCCAGCTAAGGCGGTATTGAATATTCAATATTAACGTACCCGAAGGACCAGAGAAATATAAAAAATTTTACAGCTGCCATTTGACAATTTACACCTGCTGTAAAGCATAAAAATGTGAAATTTGGGTAATCACGTGGAAGCAATGAAATTAACGGTTATTTCTTTATTTGAATTTTTTTTTAAAAACTACATACTGTTTGATGAGAGATTAACTTTTATAGTATTGACTTTACCATAGGAATAACAACATGTCGAGTATAAAATATTTATAGCTTACCTATCGACTGATCTCTGCTCGCGGTGAAAACTATAAACAAAGACATAATGAACTTTAAGTAAGCAATAAACTCACAACATGTTTTCTCATTTTTAAAATTCAAAATGTGATCACAATTTTTATACCACCAAAACTTGTGTGGATACTGGGACGTTATTGTTCAGATTGAAAAGTTTATTTTATTTTAGATCAGTTTGGATATTACATAGTAACAAATATATCATTTTATATGAATCTGAAACAACACTTTTTCATTCATTTGCTGTTAATCAAAGACAGCTTCTTAAATAAATCATCTATTAGAATAGTTACCTTACATATCAGAAAATAAGATATTTATAGCCTACCTTTCAAATGTTCTCTGTTTGCTGACATAACCATTGCCGGACCTATAAAAATAAAAGGTTATTATGAACATTCTAGTTTTATACATCACTCTGATAAAATATTCAAACCGTTGAGATACCAGCCCATTATTGTTTATTCTATTTCGTATCTGTATATATTATAAATATATTTAACAACAAAGAGGCGTTTTATACTTATATGAGCAACATAATGGGTTTGCGATCAGCATGGATCCAGACCAGCCTGCGCATCCGCGCAGTCAGATCAGGATCCATGCTGTTCGCTTACAAACCGTATAACAAGTAGAGAAACTGATAGCAAAGAGCATGGATCCTGACCAGGCTGCGCAGAAGCGCAGGCTGGTCTGGATCCATGCTTGTCGCAAACCCATTATGTTGGTTTTGTCGTGACGCGGCTCATATACATTTGCACCAACACTATTCGAATCATTTGTTGCTATCAAAGGTAAGACAAAAATTCGAAATTTCGTGTGCAAATACCAAAGGATTGACTGAACAATTTCCTTGTGTTGAAATTGTAAGGAAAAAAACAAGCAGTAAGTTAAAATAAAAGTGAGATAACCCTGAGATGTTTCTAAAAATAGTATCTTCATTTGAAAGTGTAATATTATATTTGATTATGTCCACTGAGAAATTATCAAATATAATGTCCTTTTTTTAATAAGTAATCAACCCGAAAAAATATAAAATAGAAATATCTACATTTTATAAACTAAGATATGTAATAGCAGGAGCATCGAAACACGAGGCTATCTGATTTGTACGAGGGGGCGTAGCCCCCGAATATAAATCAGATTGCCGAGTGTTTTGATGTTCTTTCTCTTTTGTATCATAGTCAAACATAAAAACTCGTTCGTTCCCTGATACCACAATATGAAACCACACAAAAAGTAAGCAATGAACGAGCATCTGAATATGATATTTCCATCGCTTTCCCTTTTTCTTTCGTCACAATATGTAAACCCCGGACAAAATTAACCAATCAATGGGCATGCTCTGGAGTACGGGTATCTAATACCTGCACTCCAGTTAACGCACTGTGCATGTATATGTATACGATTTAACTCTGTCACATTTTCAACAGAAAGGTCCCAAAACTATGATACAATTAAAGCTTACCTCTGGACAACTCGTTGTTCTCTGATATATCTCTCAGTATTACTCGACCTATCAAGATATATAATAATCATATTCTAGTTTATACCTGACTATTCCATTCATTAAAGTGTACAATGTGGATTGTTAAATTATTGTTATTGGAAGCATACGTGAGACATGCGATTACTCATCGCCAAAGCTTCTTAAATTTCATCAGAATATTTTGTTCCGGAACATCTTATTCTGTTTGCGTACAACATTCATAAATTATTGAACTTTATATACATTCTATGTAAAAATGATTTTGAAGAATTTTTTTTTATAAAACCAGTCAGTCATCTAGGCTTAAATATTTGAATTTATTTAATTTTACCCAAGACATATAGTTCTTTATCAGTCAAATATTTTTCATATTTTTTCTAAAAATAAATATGAAAGTGGGCGGAGTCAAAACTCATATTCATTTTAAGGGACTTCTTTCTCCATTTTATTTGAGAAATTTAATAAATACAAAACAATTTTTTGGTGAATTTTGTATTGAATTTGTATCTAGAATGATAAACAATGGTCTATCTAAGAAAATAAATCCGAACACCAATAGTTTTTATTCAGTCATAACTCTGTAAAGACGTTTAAAGAGTTGTTTACATGATGTCAAAATGTAGCCCTAAATATCGCGTACAAAACATTACAATAATTTTCTTGCATCTCAGACAGGATTAACTACCGTTTACACTGGCGCTAGCAATTTCTGTCTTTCAACCCCATGTAAGACAAGTCGCGTGCTTTAAATGACGTTCTTGACGCGCGCCTTTTATGAATGAATGGCGTTCTTTAGATAACGTCATTTGTCCGTTATGAATGAAGTTGTATGTTCATACGCTACTATTAGAAAAAAGTGCGTAATGAGAATATCAATTTGCATAATTTCAGTTCCGAAAATAATTGGCATGTAATACGTAAGAAAAAGAATCCAACACCGGGTGTTGGTACAGACGGGAATATCTAGCTCTCGGGTAACTGTTTAGCGGGAACTCGGCATAGCCTCGTTACCGCTGTAAACAGTTACCCTCGAGCTAGATAGTCCGGTCTCTACCGACAGCCGGTGTAAGTTTCTTATAATATTACTGTGCGCTTTACAATTGCAGTTGCGTAGCAAGCAAGGGGGTTCGTAACTATTTTTCTTTGATAATAAAATCAAATAAATGCTATTTTTATTATCGTTCTTCGTGAAATATGGTATGATAAAATGCCGTCCCGGATCGTGAAAATAAGTGGCCTTTTATCATGTTTCGTGAAAAACTTTCCCCATTTCGCTGGAACAAAAACATATCCTCTTAGTATTCTCTAAGTAATATAAGTATATATAAATGTTTAGTCAAATTTAAAACTTTTGTTTTCAATATAGGCTACAATTATGTGTATTTTAAAAAGTAACACTAAAACACATTGAATTAATTATCGAAAAAGGTATCTAAAATATCTGAAAATACAGTTTTATTTAAATGTACATCATTTCCTTTGTTAGTTTCCTTCATTTCTAACCCTTTTAAGATGTTGTCAAATTAGCGATGTTTTCTCAGGATTCAAAAAATCTATTGTAAAAATGAAATCTGGTAAAGGGAATAGCCTCAGTAGCAATAAAAACAACAAAACTGAATGAAAACTACAGACTAAGAATGATTCAGTCTGTTCGTGAGAGATAATCTCGAAGTGCAACAACTCTCTCACGTCCCTAGCCCCAGCTAAGGCGGTATTGAACATTCAATATTAACGTACCCGAAGGACCAGAGAAATATAAAAAATTTTACAGCTGCCATTTGACAATTTACACCTGCTGTAAAGCATAAAAATGTGAAATTTGGGTAATCACGTGGAAGCAATGAAATTAACGGTTATTTCTTTATTTGAATTTTTTAAAAAAAATACATACTGTTTGATGAGGGATTTACTTTTATAGTATTAAATTTTCTATAGGAATAACAACATGTCGAACATAAGATATTTAAAGCTAACCTATAGACTGGTCTGTGCTCGCGGTGAAAACTATAAACAAAGACATAATGCACCTAAATAAGCATTAAACTCATAACATGTTTTCTAATTCTTTTTTTAAAATTCTAGATGTGACCACAATTTTAATACCACCAAAAATTATAGATACTTGGACGTTATTATTAAGATTGAAAAGTTTATTTTATTTTAGATCAGTTTGGATATTACATAATCACAAATACGTATATCATTTTATATGAATCTGAAACAACACTATTTCATTCATTTGCTGTTAATCAAAGACATCTTAAATAACTTAAATATTAGAATAGTAACATCACATATCAAAAAATAAAGATATTTGTACCCTACCTTTCAAATGTTCCCTGATTGCTGACATAACCATTGCCGGAACTATAAGAATAAAAGGTTATGAACTTAACAAACAATAAATCCAGTACACTTATTCTAGTTTTATACATCACTTTGATAAAATATTTAAACCGTTGAGATACCAGCCCATAATTGTTTATTCTATTTCGAATCTGTATATAATATTATAAATTTATTTAACAATAAAGAGGCGTCTTATACTTAATTACATTTGCACCAACATTATTCCAATCATTTGTTGTTATCAAACGTAAAATGAAAATTCGAAAGGTCGTGTGCAAAATATCGAAGGATTGGCTGAACAATTTCCTTGTGTTGAAATTGTAAGAAAAAAACAAGCAGTAAGTAGAAATAAAGTGAGATAACCCTGAGATGTTTAAATAATAGTGTAATATTATATTTGATTATGTCCACTGGGAAATCAAATATAATATCCTTTTTTAATGAGTAATAATCCACCAGAAACATATAAAATAGGAATTTCTACATTTTATAAACTAAGGTATTTATAGCTTACCTCTTGACAACTCGCTGTTCTCTGATATATCTCTTAGTATTGCCCGACCTTAAAAAATATATATTATATTCTAGTTTATACCTGACTATTACATTCATTTAAGTGTACAATGTGGATTGTTAAATTACTGTTATTAGAAGCATACGTGAGACAGGCGTGTACTCATCGCCAAAGCTTCTTAAATTTCATCAGAATATTTTTGTTCCGGAACATCTTATTCTGTTTGCGTACAACCTTCATAAATTATTGAATTACATATAGATTCTATGTAAAAATGATTTTGAAGAAATGACCATTAGGTTATAAAAAACATAATTTTACTGTCGTTAATTCTTAATAAATTATGTTATCTCATATAGATTTATAATTGTTTATCAAAGGAAAAAGAAGTTGTGTAACAAGGCAATATGTTCACGTGTACAATGTTGATATTTTGAAACTGTAATACAAAAAATAAATAAAACCAGTCAGTCATCTAGGCTTAAATATTTCAATTAATATATTTTTAGTCATGACAAATAGTGCTTTATCAGTCAGATATTTTTCATAATTTCTTAATAATGAATATGAAATATAAATATGCAAGTGGGCGGAGTCAAAACTCATGTTTATTTTAAGGGACTTCTTTCGCCATTTTATTTGACAAATCTGAAAAAAAAAACCCCATTTTTTTGGTGAATTTTGTATTATATTTGTACGTAGAATGATAGAAAACTAAGAAAATAAATCCGAACACCGATAGTTTTAATTCAGTCATAACTCTGTTAAGACGTTTACAGAGTTGTTTACGTGACGTCTTAATGTAGCGCTAAATATCGCGTACAAAACAAGACAATAATTTTCTTGCATCTCAGACAGGATAACCTACCGTTTACACTGGTGCTAGAAATTTCTGTCTTACAACCCCATGTAAGACAAGTCGCGTGCTTTAAATGACGTCCTTGACGCGCGTCTTTTATGAATGAATAGCGTTCTTAGGATGACGTCATTTGTTCGTTATGAATGAAGTTGTACGTTCATACGCTACTATTAGAAAAAAGTGTGTATGAGAATATCAGTTTTCATAATTCCTGTTCCGAAAATAATTGGCATGTAATATGCAAGAAAAAGAATCAAACACCGGGTGTTGGTACAGACGGGAATATCTAGCTTTAGGGTAACTGTTTAGCGGAAACTCGGCAGAGCCTCGTTACCGCTGTAAACAGTTGCCCTCGAGCTAGATAGTCCGGTCTCTACCGGCAGCCGGTGTAAGATTCTTATAATATCACTGCAAGCTGTACAATTGTAGTTGCGTAGCAAGCAAGGGGTTCAGTCATAACTCTGTTAAGACGTTTAAAGAGTTGTTTACGTGACGTCACAATGTAGCGCTAAATATCGCGTTCAAAACAAGACAATAATTTTCTTGCATCTCAGACAGGATAGCCTACCGTTTACACTGGTGCTAGAAATTTCTGTCTTACAACCCCATGTAAGACAAGTCGCGTGCTTTAAATGACGTCCTTGACGCGCGTCTTTTATGAATGAATCGCGTTCTTAGGATGACGTCATTTGTTCGTTATGAATAAAGTTGTACGTTCATACGCTACTTCTAGAAAAAAGTGTGTACGAGAATATCAGTTTTCATAATTCCTGTTCCGAAAATAATTGGCATGTAATATGCAAGAAAAAGAATCAAACACCGGGTGTTGGTACAGACGGGAAAATCTAGCTCTAGCGGAAACTCGGCAGAGCCTCGTTACCGCTGTAAACAGTTACCCTCGAGCTAGATAGTCCGGTCTCTACCGGCAGCCGGTGTAAGATTCTTATACTATTACTGCGCGCTGTACAATTGCAGTTGCGTAGCAAGTAAGGGGGTTCGTAACCATTTTTCTTTGATAATGAAATTAAATAAAAATGTTATTTTTTATCGTTTTTCGTGAAATATTGTGCGATAAAATGCCACATATTTTCACGAGCCGGGTCGGCGAGAGAAAATAAGTGGCCTTTTATCATGTTTCGTGAAAAAATATTCTCTATTTCACTCGAACGAAAAAATATCCTCTCAGTATTCTATAAGTATATATAAGTATATCTAAAGGTTTAGTCAAATTTAAAAGTTTTGGTTTCAATATAGGCTAAAATTATGTTGTATTATAATAAGTAACACTAAAACACATTGAATTAATCATCAGAAAAGGTATCTAAAATATCTGAAAATACAGTTTTATTTAAATTTATATCATTTTCTTTGTTAGTCTCCTTTAATCCTAACCCTTTTAAGATGTTGTCAAATTAGCGATGTTTTCTCAGGATTCAAAAAATCTATTGTAAAAATGAAATCTGGTAAAGGGAAGAGCCTCAGTAGCAATAAAAACAACAAAACTGAATGAAAACTACAGACTAAGAATGATTCAGTCTGTTCGTGAGAGATAATCTCGAAGTGCAACAACTCTCTCTCGTCCCGAGACCAAGCTTAGACGGTATTGAACATTCAATATTAACGTACCCGAAGGACCAGAGAAATATAAAAAATTTTACAGCTGCCATTTGACAATTTACACCTGCTGTAAAGCATAAAAATGTGAAATTTGGGTAATCACGTGGAAGCAATGAAATCAACGGTTATTTCTTTATTTGAAAAAAAAACAAAAAAAACTACATACTGTTTGATGAGAGATTAACTTTTATACTATTGAATTAACTACAGGAATAATAACATGTCGAACATAAGATATTTAAAGCTAACCTATAGACTGATCTCTGCTCGCGGTGAAAACTATAAACAAAGACATAATGAACTTAAATAAGCAATAAACTCATAATATGTTTTCTCATTTTTTAAAAAAAAAATTCTATATTTGACCACCAAAATTGTGGATACTGGGACGTAATTGTTAAGATAGAAAAGTTTATTTCATTTTAGATCAGTTTAGATATTAGTTAATCACAAATACGTATATCATTTTATATGAATCTAAAACAACACTATTTTATTCATTTGCTGTAAAATCAAAGACAGCTTCTTAAATCAATCTGCTATTAGAATAGTTACCTTATATATCAGAAAATAAGATATGTAGCCTACCTTTCAAATGTTCTCTGATTGCTGACATAACTATTGGCAGAACTATAAAAATAAAAGGTAATTATGTACATAACAAACAATAAATCCAGTACACTTATTCTAGTTTTATACATCACTTTGTATAATTTTCAAACCGTTGAGATACCAGCCCATAATTGTTTATTCTATATGTATCTGTATATATTATAAATATATTTAACAATAAAGAGGCGTTTTATACTTATATACATTTGCACCAACACTATTCCAATCATTAGTTGCTATCAATCGTAAAACAAAAAAATTGAAAGGTCGTGTGCAAAATATCGAAGGATTGGCTGAACAATTTCCTTGTGTTGAAATTGTAAGAAAAAAAGCAGTAAGTACAAATAAAAGTGAGATAACCCTGAGATGTTTTTAAAAATAGTATCTTCATTTGAAAGTGTAATATTATATTTGATTATCTCCACTGTGAAATTATCAAATATAATGTCCTTTTTTAACGAGTAATTCACAGTAGAAATATCTACATTTTATAAACTAAGGTATTTATAGCTTACCTCTTGACAACTCGCTGTTCTCTGATATATCTCTCAGTTTTACCCGATCTATCAAAATAAATATTATATTCTAGTTTATACCTGACTATTACATTCATTTAACTGCACAATGTGGATTGTTGAATTATTGTTATTATAAGCATACGTGAGACAGGCGTGTACTCATCGCCAAAGCTTCTTAAATTTCATCAGAATATTTTGTTCCGGAACATCCTTATTCTGTTTGCGTACAACATTCATAAATAATTGAATTACATAGACCTTCTATGTAAAAATGATTTAGAAGAAATGAGCATAAGGTTATAAAAAACATAATTTTACTGTCATAAATTTTTGATAAATTATTTTATCTCATATAGATTTATAATTGTTTATCAAAGGAAAAAGAAGTTGTGTAACCAGGCAATACGTCAAGTGTACAATGTTGATATTTTGAAACTGTACAAAAAAAAAATAATAAAACCAGTCAGTCATCTAGGCTTAAATATTTCAATTTATTTATTTTTACTCATGAAATATAGTGCTTAATCAGTCAAATAATTTTCATATTTTCTTAAAAATGAATATGAAATATAGATGTGAAAGTGGGCGGAGTCAAAACTCATGTTCATTTTAAGGGACTTCTTTCGCCATTTTATTTGACAAATCTGGAAAAATACAAAACAATGTTTTGGTGAATTTTGTAATAAATTTGTATCAAGAATGATAAAAAATGGTCTTACTAAGAAAATATATCTTAAAGCAATGAAATCAACGGTTATTTCTTTATTTGAAAAATAAAATAAAACTAGAAATGTGTCCATAGGACACGGATGCCCCCACACGCCACTGTTCTGTCAATCTTATGACTCTAGGTGAAATATTTTTTGGACTTCATGTGCCACAAGTTGAAAACTAAAAATCAACAAAGGGCCATAATTCTGTTAAATTTGGTCGCAGCAAAAATTCCTTCCTTTACTACCATCTACACATTAAGGTTGTTAATCCCTGGAAGTTTAAGCAAAATCTGCCATCCGGTTTAAGAGGAGTTGCGTTCACAAAATTTCTACATAGTATATAATGAAAAAATAAAAAAAGGGCCATAATTCTGTCAAATTTGGTTGCAGCAAAAATTCCTTTCTTTACAACTATCTACACATTAAGGTTGTTCATTCCTGTAAGTTTAAGCAAAATCTGTCATCCGGTTTAAGAGGAGTTGCATTCACAAAATTTCTACATAGTATATAGTGAAAAAATCAACAATAGGCCATAATTCTGTAAAATTTGAGTACAGCGAAAATTCCTTCCTTTACTACCATCTACACCTGAAGGTTGTTCATCTCTGTAAGTTTAAGCAAAATCTGCCATCCGGTTTAAGAGGAGTTGCGTTCACAAAATTTCTACATAGTATCTAGTGAAAAAATCAACAAAGGGCCATAATTCTGTTAAATTTGGTCGCAGCAAAAATTCCCTCCTTTACAACCATCTACACATTAAGGTTGTTCATCCCTGTAAGTTTAAGCAAAATCTGCCATCCGGTTTAAGAGAAGTTGCGTTCACAAGATTTCGGGACGGACGGACGGACGGACAAGTGCAACGCTATATGCTCCCACATTGTGGGGGCATTAAAACTACATACTGTTTGATGAGATATTAACTTTTATAGTATTGAATTTACTAATGTACTACATGTACTACAGGAATAATAACATGTCGAACATAAAATATTTCTAGCTTACCTATCGACTGATCTCTGCTCGCGGTGAAAACTATATACAAAGACATAATGAACTTAAATAAGCAATAAACTCATAACATGCTTTCGCATTTATTTTTTTTAATTCTAGATGTGACCACAAAAATTTTGGATACTGGGACGTTATTATTAAGATTGAAAAGTTTATTTTATTTTAGATCAGTTTAGATATTACATAATCACAAATACGTATATCTATTCATATATATATATGAATCTAAAACAACACTATTTCATTCATTTGCTGTTAATCTAAGACAGTTTTTAAAAAAAAATAAATCAGCCATTAGAATAGTTACCTTACATATCAGATATTGAGATATTTGTAGCCTACCTTTCAAATGTTTTCTGTTTGCTAACATTACCATTGCCGGAACTATAAAAATAAATGTTATTATGAACTTAACAAACAATACATCCAGTACACTTATTCTAGTTTTATACATCACTTTGATAAAATTTTCAAACCGTTCAGATACCAGCCCATAATTGTTTATTCTATTTCGAATCTGTATATATTATAAATAAATAAAGAGGCGTCTAATACTTAATTACATTTGCACCAACATTATTCCAATCACTTTTTGCTCTCAATGGTAAATCAAAAATTCTAAATGTCGTGTGCAAAATATCGAAGGATCGACTGAACAATTTCCTTGTGTTGAAATTGTTAGAGAAAAAAGCAGTAAGTAAAAATAAAGTGAGATAACCCTGAGATGTGTTTAAAAATAACATCTTCATTTGAAAGTGTAATATTATATTTGATTATGTCCACTGTGAAATTATCAAGTATAATATCCCTTTTTAATGAGTAGTAATCCACCAGAAACATATAAAATAGGAATTTCTACATTTTATAAACTAAGGTATTTAAAGCTTACCTCTTGACAACTCGCTCTTCTCTTATATATGTCTTAGTATTACCCGACCTTAAAAAATATATATTATATTCTAGTTTATACATGACTTTCCATTCATTTAAGTGTACAATGTGGATTGTTAAATTACTGTTATTGGAAGCATACGTGAAACATGTGTGTTTGTTTGTTTGTTTCATTTTACGCCTTTTTCAACAGTATTTCAGTCCTCATCGCCAAAGGTTCTTAAATTTCATCAGAATAGTTTGTTCCGGAACATCCTTATTCTGTTTGCATAGAACATACAAACATAATTTTACTGTCATTAATTCTTTATGAATTTATTATCTCATATAGATTTAAAACTGTTTATCAAAGGAAAAAGAAGTTGTGTAACCAGGCAATACGCTCAAGTGTACAATGTTGATTTTTTGAAAATGTACAGAAAAATTATAAAACCAGTCAGTCATCTAGGCTTAAATATTTGAATTTATTTAATTTTACCCATGGAATATGGTGCTTAATCAGTCAAATATATTTTATATTTTTTAAAAATGAATATGAAATATAAATATGAAAGTAGGCGGAGTCAAAACTCATTTTCATTTTAAGGGACTTTTTTCGCCAGTGTATTTGAAAAATCTGATAAATACAAAACAATTTTTTGTCGAATTTTGTTTTGAAATCTATATAGAATGATAGAAAATGGTCTAAGTAAGAAAATAAATCCGAACACCAATATTTTTAATTCAGCTATTATTGCTGTATAGACGTTTAAAGAGTTGTTTATGTGACGTCACAATGTAGCGCTAAATATCGCGTGCAAAACAAGACAATAATTTTCTTGCATCTCAAACAGGATTATCTACCGTTTACACTGGTACTAGAAATCTTTGTCTTACACCCCCATGTAAGACAAGTCGCGTGCTTAAGATGACGTCCTTGACGCGCGCCTTTTATTAATGAATTGCGTTCTTGTGGCGAAATAGACCACTGACTGTCACTCCCTCCTGAGGTTCCGGGTTCGATCCTGGGTAACACCCTTGGGATTTTTCAGAAACACTTTCAGTGTTTCCCACCTACCTAGAGGTTTACTGGTACGAAACCTAGGTAATCCTCGCATGTATAAGTGCTTTACACTGGGCATGTAAAGGAACCAAGGGATCTATTTAATAAGAGCAAGGGACTGGTTCCCGGAAACCTTTGTATCTCATAGCTTTCTCTAGAGTCTGTTGAGGTAAGGACCCTACTGGAAATGAGTGCTTGCACTTTTGTAGATCTATGTTCATACGCTACTATTAGAAAAAAAAGTGATGAGAATATCAGTTTTCATAATTTCTGTTCCGAAAATAATTGGCATGTGATATATAAGAACAAAATGATACAACGGCTGTTGGTACAGACGGGAATATCTAGCTCTCGGGTAACTGTTTAGCGGAAACTCAACAGAGCCTCGTTACCGCAATTAGCAGTTACCCTCGAGGTCGATATTCCAGTCTGTACCGGCAGCCAGTCTAAAATTTTTATAATATTACTGCGCGCTGTACAATTGCAGCTGCGTAGAAAGCAAGGGGGTTCGTAACCATTTTTCTTTAATTATGAAATTAAATAAAAAAGGTGATTTGTTTTCGTTGTTTTTTTTTTTGGTTAAATATGGTATGATAAAATGCCACATGTTTTCACGAGCCGGGATGGCGAGTGAAAATATGTGGCATTTCACCATGTTTCGTGAAAAAATATTCCCTATTTCACTCAAACGAAAAAATATCCTAATTAGTATTCTATAAGTATATATAAGTCAAATTTAAAACTTTTGTTTTCAATATAGGCTACAAGTATGTGTATTACAAAAAGTAACACTGAAACATATTGAATTAATTATCGAAAAGGTATCTAAAATATCTATAGATACGGTTTTCTTTAAATGTATACATTTCCTTTGTTAGTCTCTTTCATTTCTAACCCTTTTAAGATGTTGTCAAATTAGCGATGTTTTCTCAGGATTCAAAAAATCTATTGTAAAAATGAAATCTGGTAAAGGGAAGAGCCTCAGTAGCAATAAAAACAACAAAACTGAATGAAAACTACAGACTAAGAATGATTCAGTCTGTTCGTGAGAGATAATCTCGAAGTGCAACAACTCTCACGTCCCTAGCCCCAGCTAAGGCGGTATTGAATATTCAATAGTAGCGTACCCGAAGGACCAGAGAATATAAAAAATTTTACAGCTGCCATTTGACAATTTACACCTGCTGTAAAGCATAAAAATGTGAAATTTGGGTAATCACGTGGAAGCAATGAAATTAACGGTTATTTCTTTATTTGAAAAAAAAAACAAAAAAAACTACATACTGTTTGATGAGGGATTAACTTTTATAGTATTGAATTAACTACAGGAATAATAATATGTCGAACATAAGATATTTATTGTTTGGTTTTATTAACCTGTCAATTACATACTGATTACCCGGTCGATGCGCACAGTATATTAATCTTCGGTAGATGTTCGGTACGTTCTGTGAGATGTACGCTGTACGATGAAATTTAATTTAATTTGTATCTCTAAACTAAGTGTACTCAGCGTTATAGCGCAATATGGTAACGCACGAGTTTATAATCTAAGTGCCACACGTGTTTTAAGTTCGAGGCCTCGTTGGTCCATGTTTTTTCTTATTAATACTTTCAACATTATTGAATCTATATAATTATGATTATTTTATGTTGTTCGTTTTTTTATTACGTTTTACTTAATTTTGTTGTGTATATACTCTTTTTAAATAACATGTTTTTTAAGAATTCATGTTTAAAATTAAACGGATTAAACTCAATAAATGTCTTTTCAATGCCGTAAAACACACTTCAAATCTGTACTGCAAAAATAAAGAAAGAGTACTAAAACAATGGCAATAGTAAGGATCGAACCACCGACCACTCAATTATCAGGCATTCTCTTTACCGACTGTCCTATTGTGAATTAACGAAAACCTTCACATTAAGCTGGCGTGACTTTCAATCCATGACTAATATACTTCACATTAATTCTCGTAAACTACACGGACCAAACCGAAGTGAGATCGAATATTTAAATGAGTCCTATAATGTATTCATAATTGACAGGTCAATAAAATCAGACTATAAAGCTAACCTATAAACTGGTCTGTGCTAGCGGTGAAAACTATAAACAAAGACATAATGAACTTTGAATAAGCAATAAACTCATAACATGTTTTCTCATTTTTTAAATTCTAAATGTGATCACAATTTTAATACCACCAAAACTTGTGTGGATACTGGAACCTTATTGTTCAGATTGAAAAGTTTATTTTATTTTAGATCAGTTTAGATATTACATAGTAACAAATATATCATTTTATATGAATCTGAAACAACACTATTTTATTCATTTGCTGTTAATCCAAGACAACTTCTTAAATAAATCAGCTATTAAAATAGTTACCTTACATATCAGAAAATAAGATATTTATAGCCTACCTTTCAAATGTTCTCTGTTTGCTGACAAAACCATTGCCGGACCTATAAAAATAAAAGGTTATTATGAACTTAACAAACAATAAATCCAGTACACTTATTTTAGTTTCATACATCACTTTGATAAAATATTCAAACCGTTGAGATACCAGCCCATTATTGTTTATTCTATTTCGTATCTGTATATATTATAAATATATTTAACAATAAAGAGGCGTCTTATACTTATATGAGCAACGTCACGACAAAACCAACATAATGGGTTTGCAACCAGCATGGATCCAGACCAGCCTGCGCATCCACGCAGTCAGATCAGGATCCATGCTGTTCGCTTTCAAACCGTATAACAAGTAGAGAAACTGATAGCGAACAGCATGGATCCTGATCAGATTAACTCATTATGTTGGTTTTGTCGTGACGCGGCTCACATACATTTGCACCAACACTATTCCAATCATTTTTTGCTATCAAACGTAAAACAAAAATTCGTAATGTCGTGTGCAAAATATCCAAGGATTGTTAAACAATTTCCTTGTGTTGAAATTTTAAGAAAAAAAAGCAGTTAGTAAAAATAAAGGTGAGATAACCCTGAGATGTATTTAAAAATAGTATCTTCATTTGAAAGTGTTATATTATATTTGATTATGTCCACTGTGAAATTATCAAATGTGATATCCTTTTTTAATGAGTAGTAATTATAAAAAATATCGAAAATCCCGATAAAAATATAAAAGATAAATATCTACATTTTATGAACTAAGGTATTTATAGCTTACCTCTGGACAACTCGCTGTTCTCTAATATATCTCTCAGTATTACCCGATCTATCAAAATATATATTATATACTATTCCATTCATTAAAGTGTACAATGTGGATTGTTAAATTATTGTTATTGGAAGCATACGTGAGACATGCGATTACTCATCGCCAAAGCTTCTTAAATTTCATCAGAATATTTTGTTCCGGAACATCTTATTCTGTTTGCATACAACATTCATAAATTATTGAATTACATAGACATTCAATGTAAAAATGATTTTGAAGAAATGACCATTAGATTATAAAAAAATTTAATACCTATAACCTTATGGTCATTTCTTCAAAATCTAGGGTATTTCATGGCCATTATGGCAAGATCTAGGTCATAATGCAATTTCGGCCGCCTTGTTACTTGGCATTATTTTTCCATAATGGGCGAGTGAATGAGCGCACATGCAAAATGACGTAATCAACTCTCAGTGACTTTGAAGATGGCTGCTGACGTGTAATGAACTGTAGTCACGGGCACAAAAAACTTTCAGTTTAAATGACGTAATCAGTCTCAATCAACAAAGCTTAACATTGAAGATTTATAAACCCCAGAAAGGAATACAATAACTCTACCAAAGACAAAACATAACCCTCAGAATTTCCAAAAATGATTTCAGTTTGACTGTAGAAATAAGATCGGATCGATGACAAATGGAGCTAGACATCAGTCTCGGAGGCACAAAAGTTAATACAAACTGGCACTATATGTTATTCTCACAAAAAATAAATAGAGTTTTTATCGATATAAACAACAATAAAACAACATTGTCTCATATTTATTTTGTTTTCTCAAGTTTTCAAATGTAATAAGAGGGTTAAACTGAATGACATATTTTTGTTTACATTGACAACTTACTGTCCGTTTCTTAGAAAGGGCGACAACCAAGATTAGCGGCGATGTCTAATTGCCGTATATCGGACATAGGTATTAAAGACGTTAATACTTGGTTGCTGCCGGCATTATGCTATAATGGCCCTCGAGTCCATAATGTCCTTCGGGCCTGCAGCCCTCAGGCCATTATGCATTATCGCATAATGTCTAGCAGAAACCAAGTATTAACCTCTAAATCATTTTACTGTCATAAATTCTTTATAAATTATTTTATCTCATATAGATTTATAAGTGTTTATCAAAGGAAAAAGAAGTTGTGTAACCAGGCAATACGTTCAAGTGTACAATGTTGATATTTTGGAAATGTACAAAATAATAATAATAATAATAAAACCAATCAGTCATCTAGGCTTAAATTTGAATTATTTAATTTTACCCATGAAATATGGTGCTTTATCAGTCAAATATATTTCATATTTTTCTTTAAAATAGATATGAAATATAAATATGAAAGTGGGCGGGGTCGAAACTCATATTCATTTAGGGACTTCTTTTGCCATTTTATTTGAAAAATCTGATAATTTCAAAACAAACTTTTTTGTTGAATTTGTATTAAAATCTATATAGAATGATAGCAAATGGTCTAAGTAAGAAAATAAATCAGAACACCTTTATTTTTAATTCAGTCATTAACGCTGTATAGACGTTTAAAGAGTTGACGTGACGTCACAATGTAGCGCTAAATATCGCGTGCAAAAAAGACAATAATTTTCTTGCATCTTAGACAGGATTATCTACCGTTTACTCTGGTACTAGAAAACTCTGTCTTACACCCCGATAAGACAAGTCGCGTGCTTAAAATGACGTCCTTGACGCGCGCCTTTATTAATGAATCGCGTTCTTGTGGCGCAATAGCTCAATCGGATAGAGCACTAACTGTCAGTCCTGAGGTTCCGGGTTCGATCCTGGGTAACACCCTTTTTCAGAAACACTTTCAGTGTTTTCCACCTACCTAGAGGTTTACTGGTAGGAAACCCAGGTAATCCTTGCATGTATCAGTGCTTTATACTGGGCATGTAAATGAACCAAGGGATCTATTCAATAAGAGCTAAGGACTATTTCCCGGATTCCCTTGTATCTCATAGCTTTCTCTAGAGTCTGCTGAGGTAAGCCCCTACTGGAAATACATGCTTGCACTTTCGCAGGTTATCCTTGACCGCCCGGTGTGAAAAATCAATCAATCAATTCTAAGGATGACGTCATTTTTTCCGTTATGAATGATACGCTACTATTAGAAAAAAGTGCGTTATGAGAATATCAGTTTACATAATTTATGTTCCGAAAATAATTGGCATGTTATATGCAAGAAAAAGAATAAAACATCGGCTGTTGGTAAAGAGCCTCGAATCCGCTGTAAACAGTTAACCTCGATCTAGATACTGTACCGGCAGCCGGTGTTAGATTTTTATAATATTACTGCGCGCTGTACAATTGCAGTTGCGTAGCAGGCAAGGGGTTCGTAACCATTTTTCTTTGATAATGAAATAAAATAAAAAGGTTATTTGTTTTAGTTTTTCGTTAAAAATGGTATGATAAAATGCAACATATTTTCACGAGCCGGGACGGCTCGTGAAAATATGTGGCAGTCCCGGCTCGTGAAAATATGTGGCATTTTATCATGTTTCGTGAAAAATATTACCTATTTCACTCAAACAAAAAAATATCCTCTTAGTATTCTATAAGTATATCTAAAAGTTTAGTCAAATTTAAAACTTTTGTTTTCAATATAGGCTACAATTATGTGTATTATAAAAAGTAACACTAAAACATATTAAATTAATTATTAGAAAAAGTATCTAAAATATCTGAAAATACGATATTTATAACTTAACTATAGAATTTTCGTTGCTGGCTGATAAACTCCGAACTACAGAATAAGTTAAATCATTGAACGTAGATAAGCAATAATCAACAATTCGTAAGTAAGTTTATACGTAACTTATTTTAAATTTTAAAATGTGAACGAAATTGAATAGAATTACAGCGGTTGTAAGAAGCATGTTATTCTCAATTTCGAAAGTTTTTTTATCGGCATACATGTTTCATACAAAATTGAATGAGTGAAAGTTCAATACAGAATTTATTGAAGGAGTTAAATACAGTTATATAATGCGAGCCTCTGGCTTGCATAATAATCTTTTATTCAACGAGAGTTCACTAAAATTCAGTATTGAACTTATACGATTTTAATATTTTATTGATCATATACCAAAAATAAAGACCGTTTGAAGTGAAAAATAACCATTTTCCATTGATACGCCTATAGTGTAACGCTCACATTTTGGTGTCTTAACGCTATGTTCATTAAACGCAAATGACATCACGTCAAAATATATTCACGGCCGTGCAATACCATAATTATGGAGTCGCAAAAACGGCACGGGTATGTGATAAATCATTTGATAAAACTTTTATGTTATTCTGATATACACCTTAACACCTATATTCACCATTCATTCATTAACTGTTTATCAAAGGAAAAGGTTAAAAATCAGGCAACATTTCCAAAAGGTGATTGTACATTTTATGTCATACACATTACATTTGTAAAAAAGAACAAAGTTTTTTTTTAATCACGGTTTAAATGAAAAAAATCATTGAAAAATGTTTGAACAATAAAGGAAATTACATATCCATGATCTTTTTAGGTACAAATTAGACGCAATGTGGCTCCATACAAATAAATTTAGGTTAAAATGAAAACTTACTATGTTTTAAATGTAAGCTGATATAAAACGGTATATATAAATCAACTTTTTTGTTAATTTGATGAAACTTTATTAAACATCTCAAAAAATAAGATACTTAAAGCTTACCTACTGGCTGCTCCTTGTCTGCCATTACTGCTCTGTCTATAAAAAATCATTAACCAGAAATAAATCCAACCCTTTCCTAACCTAACTTTGTATAAATTATAAACTCAGTCTTTTTAATGTCCACAACTTTAATACAGGTACAGTTGTGTCTACTAGCACGTCATTGTTATGTTTGAAAGGGCGTTCATTCTATTCTATATCAGTATATAATCATATAATAAAAAATAAAACTTATATCTATATACAACTAAACCCAATCTTTTCTATTTTTATATGTTTTACTTACAACATACTGTCGGGTACATGAAACGGTGCAGATTTTCCGTGATACAATGCTTCCATCCATGAGGGGGAAGGTAAACAATAAGAAGATTCTTGGCATTTATTTTTTATGTATTAAGACAAATCCGTTTTATATTGTAACAGAAGAATTGTTATATGCAACGTAAAAATTAATTCAGTATAAGATCGATAAGTTCACAATGTATGTTCCATATGATATATATGGAATGTTTACTAAAAACTTTTGTGAATAATTGTACATGAAATTTGAACCAAGAGAAGCGGTAAATTTTTTAGTCAATCTCTGTACAAGAGGCACATATATTGAAGTCAATACTCGTGTTTATTACATACAGTAAATGTATAAAACCATCTGTGCAATTTCAACATTTGTTCTGTCAATTTGTTTTGTCGAAATTTGTCTACTTTCTGTTTCGTCTCGACAACGGTGCAGACACCTAGCAACGGTTTCGGGAAGTCAGCACCGTAGGAAGATCATTTGCCAAATTTGATTCGATAATATCTGCTTAGAATTGTCCCTGTAAGCAACTTTTTTTCTTCTAGTGTACTATTTAATATGCCTATATATATAACAGATTTATTTAGTTTTCAAGTATGGTCTACCAATTTATGTATTGAAACACCAGGAACTTAAAAAATAATAATAAATCAATTAAATTAAAAAATTTAAAAATGAATACATTATTTTTTTTAATTTTGGTTTACCGACTGTAAGAAATGTAATGTAAGATATTTGTAGTAGTTGTACCTTACCTATTTCTCGGGACGGGCCACCTACGAAAAACATAATTCCAATATCAAATAATTATATTAATCATTCAAACTTTGCCGTGCAGATTTTATTTCAATTTTCAAAAGCAAATGATGTTTGATAACAATTCATGTTGTATTGTCATCATTTATGTGCAATGCAGTGAAATAAAAAGAAGACCACATTTATGAACACAAATTAGGGTGAATACATACGATATTAAACAGTTCTTCGCTATGCTGATTTTAAAATTGTGCCACAACAAAAAATGTATCACAATGAATTTATTTAACAGAAATCATTTTTTAACAATTTACATTTATCATTATGATAACGAACACATGATTTTATATAAAAAGTAAAATTCATATCATACATCCACTGAATAATATCTTAATTTATTCTATAAAGAAGTATCCTTACATTGTTTTGTACGCCTTTCAACATATGTTAATAATCGTCAGATCCTGAAGGCAACGGATGTTTTCTGAAAGTTAAAAAAAAACTTTCTTCAATAATCTGTTAAATCTAACAAATCAATGAAATAACACTTTAAGGAAATTAGTTATTTAGTTAAAAGCTTTTAAAGCTTAAATGGAAACATTTTAGCCATGTTAAAATTGTAACCTTTTACTTCATGATATTTAATCAATTGTCCAGCACTCTATAGATTGCATTCCGTGTTCATAAAATCAAACTTTTTCACTTTGTTGTCAAAAAGATACAGGATTTTGAAAAACGCTTTAACCGCTTTTCACTCAAATCCGGCTTAGAAAATCATAAAAATACGATTTTCAATTTATTTTAAAGTATATTTTTAAATATTTTTGCATATATCTCTGTTTAAAGTGCCCCAGCTTATAAATGAAAAAAATTCAAATGCTATGTTTTTAGGCTTTAAACCTCAGTGGAGTCCCTTTAAATTTCATTTGTTATTGACATGCCTACAATTACACCATATTTATATGAATATGCCATTAGAATTCTATGTTGGTATGGCGACAGGTTGCTGTTCTAGCAGTTCTATTCGATGCCTTCGGCAGCACTTCCAAGCAGCAGTACATACGGAAGATTTATCGTGTAGTGGACGTCCGCGCGTCGCACTGCTGGTAAAAACCGCTTTATCATAAAGTCATCTACGCAATAATGTTCAAACTGCTCCCCCACTCCCCCAGATCTACCCAAACTATACGTAATTGTCTGCACAAGGTTCGTGTACGTGGACGTCGTCCTTACATTCGCTGTGTATTGGCTTGATGTCATCCCGTAGATCGTGTTAATTGATGACGTACACACTATTCTTGGTAAAGGTAAAAATGGTACAACGACGTGAATAGATTTTCCATTCATTGAATTGAAAAAAAATTCCCTAAAATAAACCGGCTGTTTTTTTTTTTAAATATATGATATGTTTGCCAAATATACAATTTATTTGAAATTTTTCGCTTTTGGAGGATTACATCCAAAGTGTCTGTTTTTCAAGGTAATGTGTGTGTAAAATATTATATATCTACGTTCACAGAAAACTAATTTAATTGTAAATTAAATGTGACAGGGATTATAAACCGAAATTGCACATTAAATTTTCAGTACCCTCCATGAGCCTGCAGCATTTATAAGTTTGCCGTTTGGGATTCTGTTTTTCTCTATACAATATGTTCCTTTATTGATGTTCAGCGGTCGAATAGGTCGACGTCTTACACTCCACAGATGTTCGATTGGTTTCAGATCTGCACTTTTAACAGGTCAGTCATTAATGAATGCAAAATAGTTCGTACTGAGGAAATTCACAGTATCTTTTGTTTTAGTCTGTTAAAATAGAATGATATAGGCATTATTTTGAAACATTGGCATAGCCTGCCTTGCATAAATCAATCTAATCTCGGTACTGTTGATCCTTGGAATTTCCATCCATCACACGACGAAAGATGTGCCCTACTCAGATTTGAATACACAACAGTTTATGGTATACGCGAACCCTTTCAATAAACACAAGATAAAAAACCAAAATATTCGCCGTCAATTTAACACAGTCTCTTAGCTTTGTCTTACCTAAATGCGTCACAAACCAGCCAGGCTATAATCAGAATCATTCGTGAATATGCTGATTCTTTACCATAAAGAGGCTTATGACCTGATACGACCGATTAAACGCATGATGTAGAATGAAAGTAAATCTTCACAACCAGAAACATGAGAGAATGAACTGAAAAGCACGTTAAGGAACGTGCGACAGGGAAGAAAACTATGCCCGAATACCAGCAAGCTATTCTGTTTTCATATAAAGAAATAATAAAGGCAAACTAAAGATGATTGGTATTTAAGAAATAAAGAAAAAGGAACTAATTGATAGAAAGAATAACATTTTAAGACGAAATATACGATAAACAAGATCAACAAGGAAAGGCGGCCCTCAATGAACTCAACCCCCACACGACCTAGTAAAAGAACCAGCGGCAAGGAGCCCAGACAGACACCAAACAAAACACAGGACAGGGCAGACTTTTTTCTGCTTTTTTTTTCACAGCATTAAAAGATAAAAGTTTCACAAGAGATCAGTTTGAGTTGTATTCTCCATTGTCTCAAATTAAACCAAATCTGTGATGTTCAATAAATTTTATCGTTTTGGTAGCACCTGGTTAATACTATTTAGTGTCGACATGAAACAAAAAGCAATATTAACTTCTACTGCAAACGATTTTGTTGATGGCGTATAGAAAACTATCTTGGTGATTATAATATAGTTAGTAATACACATTCAAATGCGAAAGTTTTCACACTCGTTGTGCCTCAAGTCGAAGTATTAGGACGTGTTTTAATTTTAATTTAAATGAATGAAATATCATCGAGTGGTCGTGATCCGTTGCCCTAAGCACTTTACAGTGCTAGTTTAATACACTATCTTTCCTTATGATACAAACGTTCTATGATAAAGAAATTTTGCAGATTCATTAAATTTACTTTAATGTATAAAAATATATGTTTTCTTTATCAAGAAACATTTGTTGAGACTTTCTAACATATACAGTAACGGTGTTGACTCCAGTACAGGGACAAATTAAGGGCACACGACGATAGTTGACACAACTACAAGTGTCCCAGTCAATACCTTGATAAGAATTAATACTGTTTCTTATTATGTTTTTTCCAAGTCAATTTAGTTGGATCCTCTGAAAATTGGTTATAGTTTTTTTAAATACTTGAATAACCCATATTTGACCAGTATCTTGCATATATCAGGGATGAATCCTAGTTGATTCTAAGCTCCTTTAAGCATAAACATATTTAACCGCATATCAAATATGCGCTTGGTAAGGCAATCATTTGGCATTTGGCATAGTTTCTGGAGAAAACACAGTTTTCTTTTATCTATCAGGGATTCAAAAGAACGCCAGCCTGTCAGTGCCAGGGCCATATCAGTGCGGGTTCGAGTTGGCAATTTTTGGATAGATTTTGCTGCTAGTCGCAAGAAGCGTTCCAATAAGAATGAATCCTTCTGTGTCAAGATATACCAGAGTTCGCATCCATACAATGCGACTGGGATTGTGACTTTTTCGACCAGGCTTGAAAGGACTAACGGATTTACTTCCCCTGGTTCAGATTCTATGGACAGGACCGAGAACAGGGATGACTTTGCCTTTCTGCATCATGCATTAACCGCATTAGAGCAGCGAAATGAGTCATGGAGCTCAATACCAACATGTTTGCAGTTTTTAGTGGATTTTATACAGGATGTTCCAAAATTGATGGAATAGTCGGATGAATGTGAGTCACCAAATACAATAAGTTTTGACTTTGAGTCATTAAACTGATATCTCCAAAGTGAAGCATAGTTTTTACTTTGTCTGTATACAATTTGAGTGACATCATATTAGGGCATAATATGGTGAGATCATCTTCGAGGGTAGGGTTACCACACTGCAGTTGACCTATGACGCATCCGTTACTACTTTGTTGTAGAATGTTAAGTAAGTCGTTGATATATAAGAGGTAGAGCCAGGTAGATAATACCCCTCCTTGACGTACGCCTTTAAGAACTGGAAAGCTTTCAGACTTAACACCATTTACTAAAACACAGTTTTTTATGTCTGAATAGCTGGCAGATATTGTTCTAACAAAGTGCCCATTGACCCCTAAATCTAAGAGCTTAGCAAACAGACCATTATGCCATACTGTATCGAAAGCGGCTCTAGTATCCAAGAAAAGCGCAAAAACTTCACTTGAATGTTCTATGAAATGAGCAATTGTTTCTTGGAGATTGAATGGCAGGGTGATTGATCCTAGATGTTCTTGATAGGCGTTTTGTTATGTTATTTGGTTTTCCGTCTTTAAGCACAGGGATAATAACTCCTAGTTTACATTGGGTAGGGACATATGAATGTTTAAGTATAAGGTCAAAAAGATATTTTAGGTATTCAAGAAGTTTGTGACCACCATTAATCAAATATTCATGTACAATGCCGTCAAATCCCGGTGCTTTTCGCTGTTTTAGACACTTAACAAGTTCTAATAACTCAGACATATCTATCTCTTTAGTCAACATATCAACACATGTATGATTTTCAGGCTCTGATAGGAAAATTAGCAATACGATTATTTATAGTTTCATATTGGGAATGATCAAAATCCTCATTGTCTTTCGGGCAAAATACTCTGGCATAATGATTTTTAAATGCATTTCAATTTTCATATGGGTCTCTGAATTAATTTCCGTCTAAGGAAATTTCAGTTATCAAGCCTGTACGCCTATTTTTCTTTCTTTTAACAAGTTGCCAGAATAATCGCATATCACATTCTGCTGCGTTATTCAATTCATCGTAATACTTTGTTTTCACAATCCAAGATAGCTTATTTTATGCATTTCTACATTCAAGTTTAGCATCTTTGTATGACCTGAAGAAACAATTTGAAGCATCGCGAGGTCTCCCGGCGGCCATCCATTGCTTGCGTTTTTCTCTTTGAAAAGAATGCGCGTCTTTTACCTCTTTTGTCCAATAAGGTTTTGAATGACTATCAAATTTTGACAATGGCAGCGTTTCCGAGGCCGCAGATTTTATTGAGGTTACAATATAATTATACAAGCAATCAATGGCCTCCGATGGAGAAGTAAAATGTTTAAGTGTTTGTACATCAATTGCGCCTAGTAATAAAGACAACTTTTCTTGATACTAAGATATGTTTTATTCAGTGCATTTGTGCCACTGTACATTCTGGTTATACGGTAAGGAATATGTGTCTACAGGAAAGGTAAAAACTGATAATATCGGCAAATGATCAGATACAAGACATATTTCATCATCAAAGACTCAGTTTGAAAGAAGAATATCTTGTTGCTGCTTGCTTATTACAATATAATCTAATGTAGTTTGAGCTGGGCGAAATGTATATGTACAACCTGTAGTTTCTGCTGGCATGGCACCATTTTCATTTAGAAAGCGTGAAAACGCTCTTTGGCGTTCATTTACACACTCTATAGTTAAATCAATG